CCCCAAATCGACAACCACCACCCACACTCAACCTCGGCAGACACCCACCATACTCCGCTGCTGTACGATCTCTTCCTTGTTACTTCCACACCATATTTAAATCGGGATCATATTGATCCCTTCATCACCAAATCAACAAAATTGTTGATCTCACTCTTGTATGTCAGACTAATTAAGCTCCAGTCAGCTGTTGGACTTGATCTCGCAGCAGTTTCCGGAGCCATGGCCGCCAATTTTGAAACCCCACGCAGACATATAGTGATATCAAGGGAATGTCACTTTGCATATTTAACTTCAAAAGTCTATTAAACCGAAATGTTGTTTGCTGATTAGATTTAAAAACATTGTGATTTGAAGTCAAATTTGATATCAATGTCAAATTTATATTTAATTCATTTTAATTGTAGGTCTCTTATTTCATTACCATTTCAACTTAACAAACATTTTGCTTTAACTTTTTTTTAATAATTACAACCAATTAAAGCTCTATTAAAATAATAAAATAACATTTGACAATTAGATTAGAAAAGTACAAAATTTGACATAATACTTCAGATTGACACATCATCCATCAATTATAATTTGATTCTTATAATTTAATATTTCTTTTAGAGATGATCTAAAGATGTTATTTCAACATCAACTCAGTCATCAAATACAAATTAGGCACATTTTTTTTTACATCTCCATTGAAAGTGCTCTTAGCTAATTATAACTCTAATATTTAATTGCTCATTGTGTCCTATATACAGGAAAGGGATCTCCAGATTCCTTCCACCTAATCCTCCTTATCAAACAATCTGGGTTCTTAAAATTTGATCCAACAGTTAAAATTATTATAATTTTAAAAGTAGGCCCGTGTTTTTAGCCGTTGAATCAAATTTTAAGAGTCCAGATTGTTTGATGAGAAGGATTAGGTGAAAGGGATCCCGAGATGATCATTTCCCTATATACACTCCCTTTTACATTGTGGCAAAATAATAGACCATTTTGATTTCTTATGTATATTTTCATCTATTTCTCTTTCTCTCAAATCCTCTCCTCTCTCTCTCGTCTATAGATCTATCATTCTCTCAAGTGTTGTTATGTCATTCAATTATTTTGTATCGATGCTTATATCAAAATACAAATGGCTTATATCTTATTGGCTAAATTTTGGCAATGGATATTTGCAGATAGACTTGATGTACTATGTGAATGGTGATTGTTGTGACTGCTCAAGTTTCATAAAAGTATAGTTGATAAACACTGGCAGCATGTCTGTCGTAATTGTACGTAGCAGATCAGACACCCTGTGACAATTGAAGAGTTATATTTTGAAGTTGTAGATGATCGCTACGTAAAGAGGTGTTTACAGCTTTAAAACAATGATCAACATGTCTCTTTTTATATCATAGGCCAAACTAATCCTTTTGATTTTCCTGTTGTGGTGATTATTTATGTTAGTATGTTTGTTTAAAATTTCAAACAATGTCTTTTGCCATGCTACATCAATCCGTCCATCAAACCTTCAAGCTTCCATGAGATTCATAGTAAAGTCTTTCAAGGTCATCATAGCCGTAGCACTATATTATTTGAAAATTATTTGCCAACTTCGTAGTAAAGTACACCATCTATAAAATATAAAAATAAAAAAAGAATCCCTAACTTAAATTCTTGGTGCCTTTTGCCCAAAACAAAATCTTGGTGTAAAATCAACATCAGTATGAAATTAAGTCTATTCTATCGTTTGGTTGCCATATGAGGCCTGAGTATATGAAACAAAAACAAAAATTCAACCATCCAACCATTATAAAAATCGGAAGATCTGCAATAATGGGAGGTCAATGGTAGGGAATGCAACTGAATCAACAAGCCTATCCATTAACGAAACTAGCCTGTGTCAAAACAATGAACAACAACTTGTGTTACTATGCAATACAATGGAGTAGGTCAAGCACGATAGTCGGGGAAAAACCTCAAACTCGAGCATTAAAGCTTCCAAACAAAAATCACAAAAATGGCTGTTGTAGGGAATGATCCTGAAAAGGATTGAGATCTGGGCTGATTACAGCTTTTAGATGCAAATCTGGCTTGAGAACAGAGTTTGTATGTTTGTTTATTTGATTGGTTGAGTGTTCTTGTCTCTGGGGCCTCTTCCTCATTTTATAGGCAGATTAGCCCAACTGCAGTGACTTTGCTCTTGCTTGAAAGCACTTGGAGGGTAGTGAGTCATCAGCTTTTTACTTGTATTGCCATTGAAAAGTGTTTTTTGGCTGATTGTGAGTTAGTTTCCATCACTTGACATTTAAATCATAAGCACATGGCCTATGCATTAATGGGAAAGCGCCAATTTATCTCTGGGCTTGATGTTGGGCTTTGGGCAAGTCTTCTTTTAATTGGCATCTTTGGGCTTCCACACACTTGCAGCCCAAGGTTCAAATATTAACCCAAATAGGTGGTTTAAGGAAGAAGACGAGACCTAGAATTTTAATCGGGAAAGAAGACGACGCCCGAATTTTATAATTAAGATTTTTTTGTTATTCATGTAGCACAAATTTGTGGGACCTGCGATGGACACATAGGCATATAATGGAACAATTAACCGAAATTTTAAAGGGTATATGAAATTGAAATGAAATAATAAATTATGTATGATATTGAAATATTTTAAAGATGTCGTATGAGGTTGCAATTGCATCCAAAACTAAAGGGATAAAATGTAATTTACCCTAAAATAAATTTTTAATGACCATTTTATATTTTCTCTCTTTGTAAATTTTATTTTTAAAATTTTAATAAACATGTGCATAACATAATATGTGTAAAACTTAATAAGTAAACCTTTCCAGGTTATAAAACTTTTCTCTCCTAGTTGAGAGCTTTTCTCTCCAAGCTGAGAGTTTTCCTCACTATTTGTGTGAGGCTTTCAAACTTAAGAAAATCTGATGGCACCTATCGTAGATTCGGGCGGGGTCAATTGATGTGTCCTCCTTTCTTTCTTTTCCTTCTAGTACCCTTGCCTATACTGTTGTTTCTCCCAAATTTTTATTCTGATCTGTCCAATTCCTCAATCCTATGGGTATACTTTTTCCTGACTTTTCCTTGGTCTGATCTTCAGCCATGTTGATATCCTGTTGAGATCGTGTGTAAAGTTCGGGTGCTTTTAACACCACCACTTTCTCTTTGTTGTTTACCGGTTCTGGCAGTGTTGCTTGTTGGTTTCCACGAACTTCATAATGGTAATTGGCTTCTATCTCTTAGTTGCCAACTATTCCTAATTTATGGTTGTGCTCAAGTTGCAAATCATGTTGGAGGTGCCGCCTCATGAGGCGATACTCGACTGTGGACAAGGAATTGGATGGATTGACTGGTACTCTGTCAATGGAGAATGCAGTGGAAGCTTTTGGTTTCGGCTGCTGTGTTTTATTTTTGGGCCTTACTGTTTATGGGCTCTTTTTGTTTGTTTTAAGCTCATCTTTGGTTTGCTTGTAAGAGCAGTTCCAGTGTGGGAACCCTTCCCCCAAGCAATACACTATGCTATCCACCCGGTGAACAGTAACTGCCTTTTGCATCTCCACCGTTGCCCTTCAATAGCCCTGACAATAGGCAATAAAATATTAGTATTTTTTGTATCTGTAAAATAATACAAAATAATTTTATTTGTAATTTCGGATTAGAATTTTTAATTGTTCTCGTTGCGCCACGTGTCATTATCCGAAAATTTATAAAATAATACAAAATAATTTTATTTGTAATTTCGGACCAACATTTTTAATCGTTCTCGTTGCGCCACGTGTCGTAATCCGAAAAAGATAATTATTGGTGATGGATTTCCGATAAGATTTTTTTTTTTTATGTGTAAGGTAGATGATAATGAGAAGGTATTTATAGAAAAGTAAAAACAATTTTTTTTAAAAAAATTTTCAATTTTTTTTCTGATTTTTTAAAATTTTTTATTCAAGTAATTAATCTCTACTGTTGGATTAAAAAAAAAACAATTGAATTCCAACATTCCAAATTGTGCCACGTGTCACAACGGTAACATTTCTGATTTTTAAAAATGTTATTTATTTATTTATTAAGGCTAATAATATCAACCGTTAATCTCAGATCCAACGGTTGATATTAAATAAGGTTTTTATTTTTATTTTTATTACGGTTGCAAATTAGACGGTCCTAAATGTTTTGCCGTTGAGATCGAACGGATCGTGGGAAGCCACGTGGCTTCCCAACGGTAACAATTTTCAATGGGTCGCGGGCCCCAATTCCTGAAATCCTGTCGGCCCATGCTCCTATACGCGCGCTTGAGGGCCACGTGCCTGACAGAAAAAAATAAAAAAAGTGGCTGACGTCAACCGTGCGTCATAAAGCCCTCGGGCTCTCGAGCTGGCAACTCATGCCAGGCCTGTCCCTAGGGCTGCCACACGATGGACTCTCTCACTCGGGCTCTACGGCCCTGTTCACCAACCCTTCCCCAACGGTGGAACTGCTCTAAGTTTGTGTTTGGTGTTTAATAAAATAACTCTTTTAGCAATATATATATATATATATGTGTGTGTGTGTGTGTGTGTACAATTATCAGTACACAATCATCAAGCCCAACTACTAATCTGCTCACGACAGCACACAACCTTTGATCACAGCCGTCCCAGCCGTCCCAGCTGTCCGTGAAAATTCTGTGGCCGAGTCAACAGACATACCCAAGGGACACCTCGTTCAAAACCGGCATCCGGCTAAACTTACTCTGCCACGCGGCCGCACACATATCCCCTACACACCCACTCCGATTGCGCCATTCCGTGGGGCCCACGTAAGTCCCATCGGGACCCACAAACCATGCAATCATAATCTCGGTACTCTGGATTGTACTGGATTATTGGTCCCATCAAAATATTCAAAAAATAAAAAAAACAGGTTCCGGAAAGTGGAAACTGCTTCGCTTCGCTCGTTGAAAAGGCTGCTCCTCTCTGTGCTGCGGTTCGGGGGTCCGATCCCAACAAATAAATAAATAAAAACACACCAAATCAGAACCCTAAAAATTCCAAATCTAGTGAGCGAAAGAGAGTGGACAGAGTCCGAGGTGCCTGAGAAATCGGCGACCGAAGAGATGGCTTCGTCGAAGCTAATGTCGTCGTCGTCGACATCACAAAACTCGGATCTCTCCCGACGCCCTTCCACTTTCTCCTCCGCTACAAAGCCCAAGCCCACCACCACCACACCACACCCGTCTTCCTCCTCTGCGCACCCCCAAAACCTAAACAACTACCAGAACAGCATCGTTAACACGACGCCCTCGCTTCCAATCGGCTCCATGACCGCCGACGGCCTCCTCTACGACCCCACCCCCATGACCGACGCCACCCTCCTCGACACCCAAATAACCCTACTCGACGCCGCTGCAAATGTTAATGGACCATCAGCGCCGCCGCCCAAGACCGTCGACGAAGTTTGGCGGGAAATTGTGTCCGGCGAGAGTCGGAAGGAGTGTAAAGCGGAGGTTCCGGATGAGATGATGACACTGGAGGACTTTTTGGCTCGGGCCGGGGCCGTGGAAGAGAACGACATTAAGGATTTTCCGCTTGCGCCACCGCCGGAGATGGAGAGATTGAGCAGCGGAGTGTTTTCCTTCGATCAGATCCCGCTCAGCCCGTTCGGGTCGATTGATAAGGTCGAAGGGTCGATAGTTGGGTTTGGAAATGGGGTGGACCCTGCTGGGAGTGGAGGTAGGGTGGGGAGGGGGAAGAGAGGACGCGCCGTCATGGAGCCGATGGATAAGGCGGCGCAGCAGAGACAGAAAAGAATGATCAAGAACCGGGAATCCGCGGCCAGGTCCAGAGAGAGAAAGCAGGTGCGGAATTGGGTTTCTGATCAAATTGTCTTTGTTTGTCTTCTCATTACTTATTTTGTACTTTTGTGATTGTGTTTTTTTTTTTTTTTTTTCTTTTTTTTTGTGTTTTTCGTTTTTTTTGAATTTAGGCTTACCAAGTTGAATTGGAGTCATTGGCGGTCAGGTTAGAGGAGGAAAAAGAGCAGCTTTTGAAAGAACAGGTAACCGAATTGTGCTTTGGACAGTTGTTGGCTACCGATTCGCAGTGAGAAATACGCTTTTCCACTGCGAAATGGTAGTAGAAGAGTGTGTGATCATTGCAGAACTGAATGCTTTATAAGTTCCTTACTTTAGTAGCATTAGAGTTTGGGGACAAAGTTCGCTGTGTTTGAGTCACAATCAGTATTCGGGATAGTTATGACAGTTTGTTACTTAAGTTAAACTTTGCTACAAAACTAGTTTCCCATTTATCTGTCTCATTTTCTGAGGTTGCAGACGTTTTGTCAATTACAAATACATGACTCCAAAAGATTTCCAATTTGATTTGACTTGTCGACAACTGTGTTCATCTGTTGTGATTAAATTCCATTTCTATCGTATTTAAAGCAGTATGTAGTCATACTTTAAGCAAATATAGCTCCTTTAAGACTTAATTATCATTTGTCAGAAGAGCTGTAAGTGAAGAGAGCCGCCAGGCTTCGCTTGGTTAGTTAGCCTGATAGTTAACCCAAGCCAAAGTAATGTTTCATGACCAAGCTTCATGAATAAGAGGCTTCACTAAGGATTATGAGTTAGAAATATGTTTATAAAAATCTTATGTATATATGTACATATATTATATAATGCATATGAATACATGCATACAAAACCACTGAAGTATATACTTTAATATTTTGTTTTGCAAAGTGTAGGGATAAATGATTTAAGACTTTTAAGTACTTGGCGATGTCGTTTAGCATGTTCAATCCATTATAACATGAGTTCAAGTTTTACGAATGAGTTCAATCCATCATAACATATGAAATATTAAACAATTATCTCAATCCATTATAACATTTACTACTTGGCTTGTTCGTTCAATTGCCTATATTTCGGACTGCCTATTGGTTTGAAATGAGGAATGGGTTTGGATTTCTTGTATTTGTGCATGATGCCTGGGTTTATGAGTATGTGTGGGAGCTATATCATTCCTTTTAAGTTATCTGATTTTGATATTTTGGTTTTTCAAGTTGATGTGTAGACCTTGTAATTCGATGTTCGCATTTTACCTGTTTTTCTTTTGAGAGAAGGAAATTTATTAATAACAGACTACAAAGCAGTCCCCAAAGTACAACAAACAGAGCTAGAGGCCTAACCCGCCAGGGCAAATAGATTTCCAAGCTCAAAATAACTGACTAACTATAGTAAACATCTAAACATGCCATCAAACAGCGAGGTGTATATGTTTAAATTGCTCTCCTTTGCTGCCTCAACATTTATTTCATATTCCATTTTGTAACAATATTTTTTTATTGCAGGCCGAGAGGACTCGGGCAAGACTTAAGCAGGTACTCATTTCATTCTCGGTGCATGTAGTTAATTGATGACGCAAGGGATTGAATTTTATTAGGAACATGGTCTTTGGCTCATGGTGATCTTCTTTTAGGATAAGAAGCAACAAATTTGGTAAAGTGAAAAATACAATATGAGGCAGATAGTATAGAAAATCGCAAGGAAAACATTACAACTTTTTTCTCCAGTGCACCCAAAATAAAATGTTGCCATTATTTTGTAACTTATGCCTGAAGAGGTAAAGAAAACTAGAAGCCTACTCTAATGACTCTTTTTTTTATCTTAGATGTGGCATAATGTTTAGATCTTAGATATGAATTTTTTTATCGTGGTGAAACTTTCTTATTGTCTTCTCTCGTGGCATAATGTATAGAATCATCTTTTAATCCCAAAATAAAAAACTTAACCTCTAGTTATGCTTTTTTTAATATACAGTTTTTTCTGTTATTATAATTTTTTTAGCATTCTACAAGAACATCTAGCAACACCCTCCTCCCAGTAAACCAACAGAAACAAATAATTAATTTAAATCATGATAATTCAAAACCAGAGTCTTATGAATAAGAGTACAATTAAGGCACTATCTAGCAGGCAGTGAACTATTCAGGCAAACAGACATAGCATGAATGCATTGTGAAGGGTTGGTCATTTATTTCAATGCATATAAAATTTTCAAAAATTGAAAAACTTATTTTGATGTATATAACTTTTTATAACTGAGGATTTTTGCTTAATTTTGTTTTGTTTTTAATTTCGATAAATAGCATACCCCTTTTTAACTGAAATTTAAGCTTACCAATTGGAACTGTATTTAGTGTAATTATTACCTAGCACTTTACCTTAGCCAAGCATATCGCCAACCTGTGAGGGGATAGATTTTTATGAGGAAGCTGCTGTGATATAGTTGAAATAGATGGAGACCGTTTTCATGCTTGACAGAACAACATACAAACAATATGCATGGTTGGGTCTTTGCCTACATCCACGAGAGAAGACAATAAGAAAGTTTCACCATGCTAAATATGATTGCGTAAAGGAACATTTCACTCCCCAGAAGTAAATGGTTGTGGTTCTCTAGATAATTTAAGCTTTGGGCTTGTAGTAGTCAAGAATTATATGGCTCATGGTCCTCTGGACCATTTAAACTTGGAGTAGTCAAGACAATCAGTATGTTATAATAACAAATAATGGTTTCGTTAGAAGTCTTACTATGTACTTTCATGTATATTTGGATGTGGTAAGTAATTAGACAAGCAAACAAGTTGAAAAATTTATCCAGAAGATGAGGAACATAGTGGTTGTAATAGTCGTTGGCTATTATGCAGTTGACCTTCTTGTGTATTTTTTTTTGCAGCTAATGGAAAACATCATTCCCGTTGTGGAGAAGCGAAGACCACCTCGTGTGCTCCGAAGAGTTCACTCATTGCAGTGGTAAGAATGTATATGCTTGATTTGTGACGTGGAAACCAACATTGCTTCAAGACCTAGGAGGAAAGAGTATGAAAATATTCGACTTGGAATTTGATTGTCTGAATTAGATAAATTCCACCTGATGATATTATCATTCTTAAGAGCTAGCGTGGTTTGTGGTTTGTCTTTTTGAGAGATTGCAGTCCAAGTCACGAAGGTCATTCCTTAAGAAGGAAAAGATAGCGTCAACGAGGGAGATAGAGGTAGAGAGCCTTATTATGTAAGTAGTTAAGAGGTGATGAAAGTAGAGGATCGGGATTGAGAATTAGTTTATTATGTTTAGATGGCGTATAACACCTTTCCGGGAATATATGAAGATTGATCTCTAGCTCTATGTTTATATAAAGTTGACCTTGCATTTCAGTTTCTTGCTAGCGAATATCGATTCTTTTTTATGTAAAAAAAATATTGAAAAGAAGATGGGGTGTGGTCGTATGCTTGTATTTCTGTTTACTTGGAGACGATATTTCCTTTTTAAAGAATGTGTTGCTGTTGTGATTCAGAATTTTAGAAGTAAAATTAGAAATTGATTAGTTATTTAGTAGTACTGATTTAGCGTTTCATCTATGTAAGTTGATTAATATCTTGTTCTTTTTTTTTGAGGAGAAACGATAGCGGAAATATCCTTGTTCATTAGTTCATTATATGGTTTACTTCTTGTAGACCTACAGAGACAGGATTACCTCTACATGCATCAACATTGCCCTTTTAAGTGAATCACATTCATTCGCTAGATTTCTCTTGAATTCTTGAACACACGTTCGACTGATAAATTATGTAATGCAAGTCATGCATTGATTTGCCTAAGAATTTTTTCACTGGGAAATTTTATTTGAACCCGTAGGCATGAAACTCTTGAAATATTAGGCAGGAAATTAATTATTATAATTTTTTTATGTTTTTGGTATTTTTAAATTACTTGATATTTTTATTTTTAATGTGTTTTATGATTTTTAATCTCAATCCTTGCCTATAATATACTATAAAAATAAATAAATAAATAAAACTTAAATTTTAAAATTTATATAGAATAATAATAGAATAATAATTAATAAACATTATATACATATTCATTATATCTATTGCATTTTATAGTAAGTTTTTTTTAGTAGTTTAAAAAATTAAAATCATCAAAATAGCATTTTTCTTATCGTGTCGAAACAAGTTACCCGCGTGTCACCTTCGTGTAAACCTGTTAAGGACCCGTTATTAACGGGTTATTATCGTATGATCCGATAATGACCCGATTAGTTATCGTGTTGATCCGAAACCCATTATTTTCGTGTCGCTTACGTGTCGTGTTAACGGGTCGTGTAATAAATTGTCAGGTCTACCGTAGGGTGTTGAAAATGTTTAATCAACCCGTGGATTAGCGCCAAGTTTTTAGTACTGCTAAATCAGATCATATGATTGAAGATGGCTCAGTTAGTGTGTGAAACTGCACCACTTAATTTGTTGCGTACTTGTTAAGTTGTTGAGCGAAGAAAGCAATTCGAAGTTTAAGAGTGAACTAAGAAAAACTTAATTCAAACTAAGAAACAAGATTTTTTATTTATATGTTTTTAGAAGAATTACATCACAAATATCAGAGAAGGATGTTCTGAATGGTATTAGGAGGGTGAGTTTTAACAATAAGCACAAAATAAAGGGTAAAGTAAATAGTACCAGAATTGGTTTTTTAGTGGAAAAATGTGGTTTTTTGTTAAAGCGAACAGTACTAGGAGGTTTTTTTGTTAAAGTTCCCTAGAATTAAAGGAAAACTAAGGGCAACTTGCTGAGAGATTAAACCTAAAACTGGTGCGGAACACCATTACAAATACGTGGACATGAGCAACACGAGAGCAACTTGCATGACATAAACACACCATCATAGTGGTATTTCATGTCAATTATGCCACTCTCATTCGCGCAAGTTGAATCTTGGACGGAAATCAAATTCAGTTATATGAACAAGGGGAGGCGAGTGTGATGTCGTCGTTCTTTCCCGACTTAAGAGGAGTCCCTGGTCCATGTGTGCACACATGAATTCAACTCAGCAACTCAATGAGAAGCCGCCGATTAAGAAGAGAGCAAGAAAAGAAGTATCGAATGAGAAGCAGCCAATTGAGAAGAGAGGAAGAAAAGAACGGATGTGATCACCATTACCATTGATCAAACAAATACTCCTCATGTTGTGACTTTTGATGAAACTGAAAGCAATATGAGTCATGACGACGAGTGCATAAACAACATTAACGCTGGTGAGGCGATGCCCATGAATTCACGACCCATCAAACCTTTTTTTTCCAAAAAAAAGGGGATCAATGGTGGCTTCACCACGTCAGTCCATTATCCACCCTTTCCAGAGCTAGAAAGACACAAAGATATTTCAGCCTCTCCCATAACGTGTCTTGTGTCTTGTGGTACACGAGCTTGAAATTTATCTGTAACCACTCAGCCACCACGTGGGGGTTCACGACCTATCAAACAGAATGCACAGACAAAACGTAGGGCTCACCTCAGTCTCGTGAGTGAAATAATGAGTTCCTATTGTCACAAAAATGTCATGAGACGAAATTAATTATGTCGGAATTAATAAATTCATCAATAAAATACTATGACTTGTGCCAACTTAAATTCCTTTTACCCGAAACACATAATATATTTCTCAACAGTAATTATTTTGATCTGTTTAACTTTCAGTAGCAACTAGCAACGGTGATGCTCCACTCCAACTCTATTTAGAACAGTAACTTTTTTCTTTGTGTATCGGGCACACTAGTTAGTACATTATATATCATAATATAAGTAGAAAGAGTATATTTTTTCAATGTCCTTTAGTATACTAGCTCGTGTTCCAAATACACTGAAAAACTTCTCTTGTTTTTGTTGATTCTGTTCTAATAAATTTGAATTTCCAGACGAAACAGAAGACAAAAACAAAACCAAAACAATTGTGGCTGTTGTATGTACTGCGTCAAATACCCAGTTGAGGGCTTGCCCATCTCTATTAGAATCAAACTACGAGTGTGATGATCTATTTTCAAAATATAGATTCGACGGAAGATTTACCTAACTTGAAAATTCTGAAAATTCGCCAAACGTTCATACTCTATTAAAAATGTTCACTGAAAAATGCTACAGATTTTCTATGACAAATAACTTAATTATATGACCCGAATTCACAATTTGGCACAAAAATATGTTCATTTTCGAGTTCAATATTAGGGAGGAGAGAGAATCTGAGTCTCCCATTTCATCCATTCAAAGTCCTTAGAGCTGGTTTGGTATTGCTGTGCTTTGAAAAAAAACTGCTTCTGTTGTGCTGTGAGAATAAGCAGCTGTGAAATAAAGCAACAGAATGTTTGGTAAACTTTTTTGTAAAAGTGCTTTTGAAAAAAAAAAAACAGTATTAGTGTGTTTGGTAAACTTTTATGTAAAACAAATGTGAAAAAAGTCGATTTTTTAAAGCTGAGTTTTGCAGCTTCTTGTTTTTGGCTTTTTTTCATCCAAAACTGTGAAAAAAAGCTGAAGCTGAGTGTTTAACAAACACAAAAACAGCTCCCAACTTTTTTTGATAGCAACTTTTTTCAGAATCACCTCAGTACCAAACCAGGTCTTATTGATTTTGTGTTTGTCTTGTAGTTCCATGGCAAGTGCTTTTGTAGTTTTGTGTTCTTTGGCTAACGTCCTCAAGTAGGATAGGCCCACTGACCTCATCGACAAATACAAATCAAATTTAAGGTTGCTTTTTTGGTGCATATGATGCTGGCCAGGTTTGGTCTCTGCTCGCTCTGTCCGCTTGCCACTTCCATTCTTTCCATGCAGTTGCATTATCTGTCCAGAAAAAAAAGTTGATGCATGTACGAAGGGAAGAAGGAAAACTCAATGTGCTTGAAGCAAATATTATTGGTGAAGGAACAAGAGAGAAGAGAAAAAGAGAGACTTTAAAAATCTTATTCCCTTACCACTATTTTATTTAAGGCATCAAAGTAAGAGCCTAATTACATTTTTGTGGATTAAATTAGGAAATTAGAATAAATAAGGCCTAAAAGGAAGTGATTTGCAGTCCTCCACCTCCCAAGACATTAGTTTATTTGGGTTGAAAATTGAGACTGCAGGTTGATAATCAAAGACCTAATCATTTTAGAATAATAATCCCCATCATCAATTACAATCAGAGTGCCACCCAAAAGATCCCTTCACTTCTCATTCTTTTTCTACTTTTTTTTTTTTAATCCTCTCTTTTATTTTGTTAAAAAAAAAAAATCTTCTCTTTTATTTGCATGTAATCTAATATTGGATTTTCAACTATGAGTCTTGAGTTTAATTTTTTCTTTTTTTTAAAAAAAGGGAGACAATTGATGACAAGCTATAAATGCATTTTAGCTTCCCCTGACCATAAATCTGGCTTCCACACCAACAGAGGGTTTTGAACCCAAGACCTTCAGTTTTTAGTTTGAAAGAAGTCTCGCAATCCGTGCTTTACCACTAGGATACTAGCTCGTGGTTGAGTCTCGAGTTTGATAACTCTTCCCTCTCTTAAATAGGCTTATTAATTGAAATAGGCTGATCATGTTTCATTTTTGTTGTAATGAGTATTTTTCAAGTGCAAATTTCGAGCCAATACATAGATGTCTTGCAAGTGAAAAGATTCTAAAAAAAAAAAAAAAAAATAACCCTTATTTTGGTTGATATAATAATTTTGTTGCTCGGAATTTTTCCATGGATTAAATGATTTATTTTAATAAGGGCCCAAAACATCTTGGTTTGAATTGGAGTTATTAAAAATGGAATTGAGATTTGTTTAGCGTGTAAGTTGAAGGTAAACATATGTGTAAAAAATAAACTGTCTAAAATGCCTTTGAATTTAATAATTCTTTAACGGAATGAGATGAAGTGAGATTAAAAGAGTTAAAAATATTAGTTTCAGGAGGCAAAATAAAACAAAACTAATTTCAGAGAGTAAATTGAGACTAGACGACAATTTCAAAAACCTCTTTTTATTTGTCTTAAAATCTTTATTCTTTAAAAGGGTAATGTTTTTCTACCAACAAAATGATTCAACTTTTTAGTGTGATAAATAAAAAGAACATAACTGTGATAAATAAGGCCATACACGATCTCCCATATTTATGTCTGTCATCCATTCAAACTCGTCTCACGGAAAAGCAAAGCACTACTGACATTTTACAGTCTCTATGCCACTCTCCTCCTAATAACATTTTTTTTCTTTTTCACATCTTTCAAAACCCTCTTTTCGAATAATGAATCTGCACTTTTTCAGACTACATTTTATAATAATACGGTAATTATACATAAGAAAGTTAAAATACAAATGCCGCTATCCAAACATTTTAGGAAATTTAAACAAAAAGTTCTAGATTATTCATTTTACTCTTTATTTTGTACTAAAGTTAAAATATAAATGCCGTTATTCAATTTTTATACTAAAAAGTCAATACCGAGACTATTCAGTTTACTTTTTATTTTGTCTTTAGTGTTAAAACTCAAAGTTTTTAAGTCATTTTCATTGATTTTTCTAACATTCTATGCTAATAATTTGACAGCATGTGAAAAAGTTAAAATATATAATATTATATAAAATAATAACTTTTATGACACGATCACTTTATTGTTATGACATCCAATTATGTAAACACATATTAAAATTTTTATTCACATAACATTATATTATTGAAATCGACCGCTACAGTACATATGCAACCAGGAGCACTAGCGGAGCCATGTTATGGGCTACCGTGGGTTATAGTCTAGATAGCTTTAGGTGAAAAATAAAATTTTACATATAATTTTTGTTGATTTTCAAATGTGACTCATTATATATTTAGTTACTAATCCAAATTTTCTCGAATTATATAAAATTATATAATACAATTTGCTAACCATCTTTTTTTCTTACATCATTTTTCTCATCATTTCTTGTATATGTACAAGTTTGGATTTATTTGAATTTTAACACGTATTTGTTTAATAACGAAAATTCTTAGCTTATCTTGTGAAAAATTTCTTAAACAAGCTGACACTCTAAAAAATACAATATCAAATTTCTTTGTTTATAAAGATTTAAATCTTTAACCTAACTCACCATGAAAAATTCCTAACTCTGATTTGCCAGAGACACATAGATAAAAGGCATGGGTACAAAGGACTGAAGCCTCTGACTAATTTGAATAATAAACCATCTTTATACTTTGGGGTTACAGAAAATTTAAAAGAGAAGCTCTCAATGAAGTTCTCCATGCTCGTCTTCCTGTGCTTGCTCTCTTTCCTCTTCCAGCATTCTCACTCCACCACAATACTAGTTGATGGAGTTTCAGAGTGGAAAAACCCAACTGTTCATGTGGGAGACTCCGTCAGTAAGTAGTTTGTATTTGTCAAAAATCAAACAAGTTCAACAACTTTATTTTCTTTGTTTTTGATTCAATATTTTCTTGAACATTTTCAGTTTTCAAGCACAAGTATCAGTACAGCCTCTACATTTTCCAGAACCAAAGGGCTTTCGATCTCTGCAATTTCATTCAAGCCACCCTACTTACCAAACCTGACTCCACCTCCTTCACGGTCTATATCTCTCTCTCTCTCTCTCTCTCTCTAAACTGGCTCTGTTTTTCTGTGGATTCTTGAGAATTAGCTGAACTAAATCTGTGTTTGAACTTGGGTTTTCAATAAATTAGCTTCAAAACAAGTAAATTATCATCTGGGTCAGTCATTATTTTCTCAAAGATTTGAGCTTTCTGACTGAAATTCTTGTTTTTACATTGCAAAGTGGCACCCATCACGCACTGGTTTCTTCTACTTTGCCTTCAACAATGCCTCTCTGCTCAAAACATGCCAAAACACCCAAAAGCTGGCCATTATAGTCTCCTCCTCCGCACCGCCGCCGCAAAGTTCAAGTTCAAGTTCAACAATCTCTCCGGAGCTTCCTCCAACGGCGGCCCCAACCCCGAAACCTGGTGGTGGAGGAGCGTCTTCTCCAGTATTCCCATGGCCATTCCATCCTCGCCAAGTGGCCTTGTCTCCCACTCCACAACCAAGCGTAAGTTCTTCGGTGACGGATAAAGGCGGCGGTGGAGGCGGAATCCCATTTATTAACAGTAATCCTGCTGTTCCTCTGCCTACTGGTGAAGTGGATTCTGCTACAATACACCCTGTACCAACCTCTGGCCACCGGAGACAGGTAATAATAATACCACTGCGTCTTCCACGTTTTTACTAATTGTCAGTTGATTTTAAGTTGAATACTTAAGCAGTGTAACCTTTTTCGCCGTTGATAAAATTAGTTTTCGGTTACATGTCAAACAGCCAAATTTCTACTATGCATCAGGTTTGTAGTTTTTGACTTCATGGACTGAAGCACTAACTTGTACTCATTTCTTCATGTTTCTTTAAAAATTAAAAGTTGTTTAGCACATAAGATAGTAGTTACCAGGGAAGTACGCCTAAATGTCGAGAGATTCTCTTATGCAATGCAACTAATATTTCATCTTAGTGGAGTTATTGTTTAATAAACGATTCTTAATTGTTCCAAAAGTGAACAGTTTGTTTAATAAACGATTGATACATGGTAAACTGGTGACTTTAAGAAAATCTCTCTTACAAGACATTATTATATACATGAAATTGTATGTGTATGTAGCTTTTGTATGATGAAAATGTTGTGTGAATGCAATTTTCTGCTCAAATGGAATTGGCTCTATCTTCTGCTCAAATGCAATTTTTTACTTTAAATTTTGATGGGAGGTTGATTGGGTTTCTTTTGGATTGTGGGTTGCAGGTGTTGGTGGGGTTATTTTCTGCTCAAATGGAATTGGCTCTATCTTGTGCGGTTTTCCTGATGATGTAGAGAGAGGGGGGAGAGAGAGAGAGCGAGAGAGAGAGAGATGGTATGTACTTTGTAAAATAGTAAATCGAATTCTGAGGTAGGTAGTTTAATCTTTTATTAGAGTACTATAATGATGGTTTGATGAGTCTAAAGTACCTGCTTTTTTAACAGTGATGATCATACACCGTTTAGTGTACCAAACCGTCTTTGCAGACTATTGAAAATCTCTCGTAATGATGCTCTTAGATTAGAGTCCCTACTTTGGAATTCATTACCACTTTTGCTGCTTTAGTTCTTGGCATGCAATCAATTGCTAATTTCTCTCCCTTTTTTTATCCTCACGTTTTATCATGCTCCTTTCTCCACTTTTATTTTTGGAGGAATTTTATTTTAAATTTCAAAGGTCACAAGACCAATGACCAGTTTGAGCAAAGTTATCCCAGATCAATTGAGGATTTTGGATCCCTCACAACCACAAAGGCACAACTGATTAAATGAATCATGTTCTACACCATTTGAATAACTCTCTCATGACCTGTGATCCATTTTCCAAATAAATTTCAAGTTTACAATCTGAACCACCCTATGTGGATGTGGCTGGATGAGTGGAGCTGGTGGGCATTGATAGTATCTGCATACTACTACAGAACGTGGAAAAATGAAATAAGTTGAGGTTCTATGGTAATAGTACTTGGCTTAAAAGAGTCATTTTTCTTAGCTAACAAATTGCAATTTGATGAATGGCAATAAATTTTCCATTCACTTGAACTAATGGTCGGAAATTAAAAATAGTGTGTGGAAGGTAGAATTGGTGTATAGATAGCACACCTTTTTTCTTTTTTATCAAAAGGAGAGGGAGCTAGGGTTCAAACTTGAAATCTTTTCCAACTCAAGTATTGTCTGTTAGTAAATAATATGTTAGTTGGCCAAAACGATGTTCTCTTTCATTTGTTTGACTCTATGTAGTTTAACGGAACACTCTCTACGACCGACCATGCCACCCATCTTCCGACCAAAGAAAAAAATATTCAAGCCAGGCCTTCCCCCTATATTCAGGCTCTCACCCACCCCTACTAGTTCCACTCTCCCTTCTTTATTTTTACTCAATGGAGAAATTTTTCAAATTTTCAGTATTGAAGCAGGTACTTCACGTATTATAATATAAATTGAGAGACACAAAAAAATATATATTTTTCCTCCACTTGTATTATGACATGTGAAATATCGCTTAAATATCTGGCATTTGAAAAAAATTTCTCCACACACTTGATGAGTCTTGACCGAACAACCACGTGTTGTGAGCAAGGGGCTTGTGAGTAGTTTAAAATTAAATATCATCTTGTCAACAATTAATTAAATTTGATATTTATCAAGCTTTAAGAATAACCCCAAATCTGATTAGGCCCAAGGGCTATATTGGCAGTTGCATGTTTTGGCATAAAAAGCAACCGTTAGCTTCCCGCCGAGGCAAACAACAATAAAATGGAAAGCAAGGGATTTAAACTGTCGCAGCCGCCCCTATCAACAAGCAATGAATATGTGCTTACTTTGTTCATCTGCTCACCCTAACAAACCATTTTTATTATGTTTTATGTGCTCTATTAACATGCCCTCACCCATTCAATAGCCACATTCTCCTACCCCTTTTTATTAACTAAGATTTAATAGTTTTCGAAATTGATTTCTAACGCGAAAAACCGCCAATGGATCTAGAATTAGGACTCAAGATCACCCATACCGTAGACGATCATGTCTCCTCTGCCGACTTTCGGATTGCCAAGGATAGATCCGGTCCTCTTTTCGTGTCTAAGGAAACTGAAAGCATGTTCATCCTCACCGGCCATCTTAAAGGTCGGTACCTTTTCATTTATCTTATTAATCTGTGCTCGCGTAGTATTTGCGTGTGTGTTTTTGCTTAAGAAACTAATTTTTGGATAAATGCAGGTTATAGAAAAGAGCGTGTGTGTATTGACATAAATGAAGATGGGACGCAGATAGGCATCAGTGGGGAGAAGCCAGTTCAAGAGAGGGTGATGTCAGGATGGATAATGCACAAGAAAGAGGTGGAGATGAGGGGTTTCAGAAAAGTCTTTCGAATTCCGGATGGAGTGGTTTTGGATCGAATCAAGGCCAAGTTTAATGTACACGAATCAAGTCTCACGATCATCATGCCAAAATCAGTGAAGGGAATTCGCGGGGTTGGGATCGAGGAAGTGAAGGAAGATGAAGTGGATACAGGGAAACAGCAGCTCGCACAGCCTCCCGCGGCTGAAGAAGTCCCTGACAAAGGTGGTTTTAGGGGGAAAATTGTGGGAGAAATTGGTGAGACGGAGAAACCGAAAGTAGAAGAAAATCGTCGAACTGATGCAAAAGGGGTTGATGAAGTCATCGGAAAGGACACGAGAGGAAACACAGTTAAGGAAGAAGCTAAAGATTCAAAGGCTCAAAGTACGCAACACAAAACAAAATCTGTTTCCGAAAACAATGGAGAGTCAAAAGTTGCAAAGGTAGAAGAAGCTGATGTGCTTTTGAAAGAGAAAGTTGGAAGAAAGGAATTGGAAACAGATCAAACTGTAGCGAATAGGGTTCGGAAGAGAGAAAGTGCTGAAGTAACACGTGAAGTTTACAAGCCTTCACAAGAAAATCAGGTAGCTGCTAAGCATGACACAACAGAAGAAAACTCTTCTGAGCTCCCAAAACTGGAAGCGCCAAAGCAGGGATTGAGGAGCACGTTCGAAGCAGACGAGAGAGCGGCGAATCATCAAAGCAAGCAGAAGATACAACAGCTACACAACAAGTAGCGCAAGTTCAACGCGAAAAGAATGCGGATGGAATTCGTAGAGAAGGCGATGCAGGTCAGCTACCAAAGCAAGAATCCATCAAAGAAGGTCAGGGAAGCGGAGTTCAAGAAAGAGCGAAGAACGAAGAACACATCAAAGAGAAGGAAGAGGATGAATCTTCCGAAATGGAGGAACAAAGTGATGTGGATGATAAGAAATCAAGTGATGATCAAGAGAAAGAATGGAAAGGAAAAGTCTAATCTGCTGTGCTCTCCTTTTATAATTGCAGGTTCAGCACTTATTGTGTCCCTCGTGATGCTAGCAATCAACAAGATTAGAACTAGAAAAAGATAGCTTCTAATCTGTGCGTAGAGTTAAGAGAGCTCAGACTCTCACTTCCTTGTTACATTTAATGTTCAATTTTTTACTTATTTTGAATTATAACTCATGCATTTGAGATTGGGTAAATATCCGTGTCCAACGATATTCTAAGCGCATCTCCTTCCTCATTAGTGTAGATAATACCGTTCGTTCAAAAAAAAAAAAAAAAAAAAAGTCTTTGAAAGTTGAAAGTTATACAGTTTAGTAGTGTTTTTTTTTTTTTTTGGTTTTCCCCCACTTGTAAGTGGAAAGTTAAAAGATAAACTTATGTGAATGTCGAGTTAGACATTAAACTATTATGGTTGATCCCTTGTGTGGCTTAGTATAAATTTACCGTAATAGTAATTAGATAAAGACATATATCAAATAGTCAACAAGTCATAATAATTTAGTATTAAATTTATTATTCACAAAAATCTAATCATAACGTCTCATCATAATGGAATACAGAAATTTCATGAAAGCTTTTACAATTCCACAAAGTGATAATTCAATAAACCCCACCTATGTTATTACATTTTTGTCCAAAACGATTGGTGGGTTTGAGTTTTAAAAGTTGAGTCTATGTATTAGAAGAGAAAACAATATGTGCATTACACATAGTCGGAATCAAAACTCAAATGTGATTTTTTTTTTTTTTTTTTTTAGTTGAATGACATTTTATCTCGTTTGAACTTTACTTTAAACGAGAAATTGTATATAAGTTTCAAGTTTCCGATGCATTAGACAGATTCAGACTTAGACTCAAATATAAGATAAGTGATACCATTCACACACTCTATTTACCTTCCATACATGCTTCTCAATTTACAACCGTCGAATTGCATGAATTAAAGAGATCAAAGGACAGAAACTTATAGAAAGAATGTAAAAGGTAAAAATAAGTATGCAGATACCGCTACCTTATAAGATTTGAGTCCAAATTAAATTTTCAGTACATTGAAGATGACCTTAGTTGTTAGTGGCAACCAATTAAAGGCGCAAGAGCTGGCTATTGGCATTTATGGCTCAACACCTAAAAAGGAACGCAAGTAGGATGCATGACCAAAACACCATAAATTCATAAACCCACCTTCCAAATACATGCCATATGAACTCCATCAAATCAATACAAAAGACAAAAACTAGCTTTTAGCACTCAAATCCTGCATTTAGCGACAGCTCATAGATAGCTACCCTCTTTAACAAATTCGCAATTTGGAAAATTAGGGTCAGCTCCTCTCCTCTGGCAGCCTCTCATTTCGACGAGGTAGGTATGCACTCTGCCGTCGCCTGATGTTTATAGGCTACCAACTGCATTATTATTCCTCCCCCTTCGACTTCAGGATAAGACAGTGACGGATTACCGGAAAATTTATTTTTATCTAAATAATAGCTAGAGGAAATCATCACAAGACCGATTAGAATCGGCTCAATTCGATGCACACGATTAGTTATGCGTATCTCGTGCAAAGTCAAAGTATGCTCCCGCGTGTACAGGCGATTGATAACAACATACAGTGCCGGTTATCAGTAGTACCTGCTATCCTTGCGAACTGCTACAGGATGGGACTGCTTCAATGTATTAAATCCGTAGGTGGCGATCAAGTAGAACCCTGTACACCAAGTAGCATCGGTAGGAAAACTAGTATTTTCGTGGTATACCAAAAGGAGGCAAGGTTCATAGAGCAGACGACTCAGAGAATTCAGTTAAGAATAACATATATGCTCAGGACTTTAGTGGCAACGGGATTTTGCTGATGAAACAAGACGCATCTTCGATAACTTTGGACGCGTACCTTTCTTTCCATTAGAAGGGAAACCATGACGCCAAAAGCGATGGAATTGTCTTTGCAAGAATTGGTACTCAGCCAAGGGAATGAAAAAATCAAACCCTACAAAGTCAACCAAACGAAATTTGCAGACGTCTTCACATGACCGAATAATAGTCAAATTCCTGCAGTAAAAAGTGGGAACATATGCACGAATAACACCAACCAATCAATCTCAGCTTCACCAAAATAGTCAGAAATACATAAAAGCCTAACCTAATTGCATATGGAAGTCAGCAGAAACGACAGCAATCGTTATCATTTGGGGAAAGTTGGAGCTTCGATCTGTCCCTAAAGCTGCATATTCAAATAATGCAAGCAGAAAATTCCAACAACAATCGAACAGCAGATTTGTTTTATTTCTTCTCTATGTTCACTAAGCATTGACCAGCGAAAATATAACTACTTATTATAATCCAATTTTGAAGAAAAACAAAAGGTTGTAATCCTTATACACAACTGCTGCAAAGAGACTAAATTCGGAATCTTTGATGATTTGGTTTCTCCGCATTGTGTAATTGAATCAAATGATTCGTTTGCTAACTCAAATAGTCGAGTTCATTACAAGCAGTTTGTTGCCCCCTCTGCACCTATGTTCGAATTCCCCTCCCCGTAGTTCAAGATTAGATTAGAATATCGCTCAAATCAATGAGCGAGAAATTCATCCTACAAACCCTCCAGTATCTCTCTCACACAAACACACAAACAAATTCAAATTCCCAATTCGCATCTCGCGATCACCTAGTAGCAGAGGACAAAAGAAAATTTGATGTAACAATTGAACCAAAAATGAGAAAGAGCAGCAGCAGAAGCATGCTCAGGAATTCCATTACACAAAGGCAAATTAAATCAGCAACAACACAATTTAAAGGGCAAGTAGAAGAAAAAAAAGGACCTCCGAGGAAGCCGGTCCAGTTGCATAATCCTAATTTCTATACACACTATATATGGTGATTGCTAATCCATTGAGTGATGACTAAATACAAAGAAAGAAGAAAGTCATATCTCCTCCTTACCCAATTTTTATTGGCGCCAAAATTGATCTCATCATCTTCTTCTTCTTCAATTGGCAATTGATTTCGATGATAATTCAGGGTTATTCGTTCTTCCGAATGAGTCCATCCCCTCCGTTCGGCTTTTTACAATTCCATGGAACACCTCCCTGACCTGCCGCTCCAGAGGATCCAACCCCTCCTTAATCCCCTGGCAGAGGCTCGACAGTTCCCGCACTCTCTGCCTCACCTCCCTCTCCTTCTCCTCCGCAAGCGGGAAGTGCGCGGAGTCAGCCAGATCGCCAATCACCCGAGAGCACCGTTCGATCTGATGAATCTCCTTCAACAATGCGCAGGCATTCCTCCTGTCCCGCCGCTTCGACTCGTCCATAATCCGCTCGTGCAGAGACAGCATTGACCCCGCCCACGCGAAGCTCCTCGGCACGTTGAAATGCACCTGCAATCCCCTGTCCTGGCAGGGTATCGCCGCCACCAGTGCCCACATTACGAACAGCAAAACCGAATTGATTGTGAAAACCGCCGGGGCCAGCCCACTGGAGGCCAAATTTTCATTGGGCCTCGGGGCGTATAGATTGTTCCCGATTGCTTGGAGCTGCCTGGCGGCCGACCACGACCGTGAGACGCTCCAGGACAGAGATCGGAAGTGGCCGAGCGACCGGTGCTGCTGGTGCTGATGATCCTTTGTGTTGTTGTTTCGGCCGAAGGAGCGGTTCCGGTGGGCTATGGTGGTGTTGGAGGAGTCCTTGTCGTCGAGCATTGCGATGGCTAGGTCGACGAGGGCCTTCTTCGCCCGGCGAAATTGGCCCTCGCCGAGCGTCCTGTCCCGGTCTAGCGCGACGAGGACGATGTCGAGCAGCTTGAGCCACTGGCGCATCTGCTCCATTCCGTCGCGGATGGCGTTGCAGACGTCGAGGGCCTTGACGTGGCGCTCGAAATAGTCGGAGATGTAGCGGTCGACGGTGGGTTTGGAGATGTGGGTTTTGGTGGAGGAGAGGATGAGGAGGGTTTTGAACTCCTGGTGTATGCGGATGAAGGATTCGAGGAGGTCTCGGAGCCATGGGAGGGAGAGGAGGTCGTGGGCGGAGGAGGAGAGGTTGTGGAAGCAATTGGCGACGTGGGTTTGGAAGGAATCGAGGTCCAATCCGCCACTACCGCTGCCACCTGAAAGGCCGTGACTTTCCATTGAATTCAACTGATCGCGTCTGAGACTGAAGATTGACCTTCCGACTTGATTGGAACCAGCTGACGAGTATTCCGTCGCTGGCATTTCTCTCACAGTCCAATCCAATCCAACCCAACCCAATCCAAATTCAACAGGATTATAAACAAGTAGAGAGAGAAAGAGGAGTGTGTTGGGAGGAGAGAGAGAGGTGAGAGAGTTGGAGGGACAGAGGGCGGAGAGAGTCTGCGTTTTATGGAGGGGAAGGGATGGGGGTTCGGGATAGAAATGAGATTAAGAGTTTAACCATAATTAGTGAGACTTTAATCACTCTCTTAGTTACTTTACTTTGCGCTAATTAACTTTTGTGGTTTGCTAACGGGGCACGCGAAGCGTACACGGGGCGGACACGGTGGATGTAAATATTTGGAGCTCCACACACTTTTTAATCTTGCTTTTCTAACTTTTTCCTTTATTTAAGATTTAACCGCGGATAAACGAGAGAACGAACTGCATCTGGGCCGTTGATTTTTATGTGTTTACTTTTGGATCGCCGAGGGTGGGGCCGTGGTGCCACGTGGGGGACGAGGACGGAGTCATTGCGCCGAGGGGTGTACACGTGGACGGTAGAGCTGGGTCTTTGTTGGCGCGTAAATTGGAGGGGAGGGGAGGGGAGGGGAGAGGAGAGGAGAGGGAGGGGGACGGATGGATATGATTGACTGACTGCGTCCTGGTCCTTCTAGAATAGAAAGTGGGTGAGAGGGAGAGGGCGGGACCGAGTGTTATGTGGGGCCCAGGGAGGAAACGATGGATGACGTGTGTCGTTTTCTTTATTTTGATGGAGTTGCCACTGGTTCGTTGAAGAAAACGTCAAATTCCTGTCTGCATGCTGGTCACTGGGTGGGCCCCACGCCCTCTCCTCCGGATTCGTTTTCTTTTAACGTTCAACTTGAGTTTAAATTAGCAAGTTTTTAGAAAACACTTTAGATACTGTTTATTTTTAATGAAAAAAATATATTTTTTATCTTTTTTTAGCACTATTTTTTATATATATTTTTGTTATTTTTTTATTAAAATTAAAATTTTTTTTTAGATTTTTCGTTAATTTTTCTATCCAAAATCAAAATAAAACACAAGTTTTAGTTTTTATTTTTTGGATTAGGATACACATCT